GAGGACCTCAGGGCCCGCACCTCGTCCAGACTCTGGAGGAGGCGGCGGTGGTGCAGGCGGCGGCCCTCCGCCGCCCGGCCCAGGCGGAGGAGGAGGACCTGCTGGACCCGCGCCGCCAGACGCAGACGAGGACATGTTCCTCGACCTGACCGGACCGGCGCCGCAGAAGCGCCCCCGCAGTGAAGGTCAGCCTCCAGCACCACCCGCGCTACCAGCACCAGCACAGCAGCCAGGCATCGCGCGGCACAACTTCGGCAACATTGAGATGTCCTCAGCAAATCAGCGCATTCATCAGTACCATGAGTGGCTGGCCCGCCGTCAGGGTGACGGTGATTTCACTACCAGTGGAGGAGCTAGCGGCAGTGGAGGATCGGCCCCACCGCCCTCGGGAGGAGCCGTGCAGCAGCAGCAGCCACCGCTGCCGCCGCCAGCGGGGCCGCAGCCGCCACCTGCGGCGGCTGCGGCCGACCCGCCGGCGCCAGACTCAGGCGGTGCTGCCGCCCCTGCGGATGCCGCTGCTCCTGCCGCCGAAGAATTTCAACGTCCTGAACCCGCGCCTCAGGGCCCAGTCGACGCCGCCGAGGACGACAAGCAGTCCGACAGTTCCGGATCGGGCATGATTCGGGAGTAGGCTCAGATTGCGGAGGAGCAGGTGCGCCAGGAGACCATGGCTCGCCGCCCACTGGACACCGAGGACCAGCGCGGTACCAAGACGCAGCGCCAAGTTCGACAAGAGAACGCACCAGTGGCACTGCAGCGTGACCGCCAGCAAGAGCTCGACCCCCGCGAGCGCGCCGCAAATCGCAAGGAGCTACTGAACGACCTGCCTCAGTGCTTCAAGAGGCCGAGGGGCACGAACAAGGTCGACCTCTACCTAGACAACTACTTCCAGAAGCACGTGGACGAGCTCTACGCTAGTACACGACTCCGCGAAGCACTGCTCACGGGGAACGCCACCGCCAAGGAGCTCAAGTACGACACGTTGAGCGCCACCGAGAATAAGAACATGGACGCCGCCATGAAGACCGAGTGGTCCAAGTGGACGGAGTTCGGCGCCTACAAGAAGCTCCCGCCCAGGGAGCTGAAGGAGCTCCTGCGGCGCAACCCTGGCATTCGCCCTGTGGGCACTCGCTGGGTGCTGACCAGCAAGGGCCAGAACGTCATGAAGGCTCGCCTGGTCGTGCAGGGCTGCCAGGAGGACAAGTCGCAGATCAGGACGGACGCACCTACGGGATCCAGGGGCGCGCTGTACCTGACCCTCGCTGCCGCAGCCCAGAAGGGCTGGGATCTCTCGTCCTACGACGCGATGACGGCCTGCCTGCAGTCGGGTAACATCGAGAGGCTGCTGCTCCTGCGCATGCCGGCCAAGAACCCGCCGCCGGGGACTCAGCCCGGCGAGATCGTCATGGCCACAGGCGCGATCTACGGGACGCGCGACGCCGGGAGGCAGTGGTACCTCTACGCGCAGAAGGTCTTCGCCGAGCATGGCCTTGTGGAGAGCAAGCTCGAGAAGGGCCTCTACTACTTCTACGACGAAGGTGGGCTCGCCGCTGTGGTCCACTCTCATGTGGGCGATTTCCTGACCGCCCAGCGCAGCAACTCCACGAAGTGGGAGGCTACCATCGCCTCGCTGGGGAAGAAGTTGCACCTCAAGCAGGTCGAAGGGGTCATCAAGTACTGCGGACGTACCATCACCAAGCTCGACGACGAGTTCCGCGTGACCCAGGCCACCGCTGCAGCGCAGGTGGACTTTGTCGACCTGAAGGCCACCAAGGGCCGAGGTGCCGAGGACCGGCTCACCGCCACCGAGGTGACGAGCTACCGCCACACGCTCGGGCAGCTGTTGTGGCTAGCGGTGCAGACCCGGGTAGACATAGCCTGCCCGGTGAGCTTCGCAGCTCGCCGCACCAACGTCGCCACCGTGGCCGACGCGAAGACGCTCAACAAGACGGTTGCCTACGTGCACTCCACCGCGAACTTCGCGATCGTGCCCAAGCGCAAGCTCGTCGACCTGGAGACGGCCATCACCGTGTGCTTCAGCGACGCCGCGTTCGCCAACGTGGACGGCGTCAAGAGCCAGTGGGGCATGGTGATGGGGCTCACCCACCGCCCGCGCGACGTCGTCGGTGGTCGCTACGACCTGTGTCTGCCAGTCGCCTGGCACTCCGGCACGGTCAAAAGGTCGGTGAAGTCGACCCTCGCCGCCGAGGGCTACGCCACCCTCGAAGGATCGGAGACCAACATTTGGTTCCGACAGCTGCTCACCGAGGCCTACAACCCCAAGACGGCGCTCAAGCAGATTGGCGTGCTCGCCGACAAGCGCCCGGGGGAGATCTACAGCGACAGCAAGGGCCTCGTGTCGTACATCCAGTCCGATGTGGGCCAGTCTACGGACAAGCGGTTCCGCATCGTCGCCTCCATGATCAAGGAGGCCGTGCATCCCAACAGTGCGCTCAAGCTCAGTTGGATCCCGACCTGGGCCATGGTCGCGGACGCCCTGACGAAGGCCATGGAGGCCGGCGTCCTGCTGTCGTTCTTCGGGGCCCGCAAGCACACCTACGGGGCCCGGCAGCCGCGCGCCGCCATGCTCGCCTCGGTGCTGTTCACCTGCCTCGGCAAGGTCAAGGGACAGCCAACGCCGACGCCGACGACGCCGGACTTCAGCTAATACCTGCGCCTGCTGACGTTCGCGCTGTTCTACGGCATGGCCATCGGGTTCGGCATCTTCATGATGCTGTGGGCGATCATGAGGCAGAGCCACGCGATTGCCACCGAGCAGAGCGTCGCCGAGGCCAAGGCCATGGGCGAGCAACCCTGGCTGGGACGGCCGCCTACTGGGCCGGCGCCGCAACATACCGACGATCCCTGAGGACCGTGACTATGACGGCGATGTCATCATGCAGCCCCCTGGAGGCGCAAGCAGTGCGAGTTCAGCGACATCGGCGTCTGGCGTGTCTTTCGGACACCATCCATCGCAGCCACCAATTCCAGCATTTCCAGCACTGCAGCAGGCGCCGATGCCGCCAACACCGCCACCTTCCAGTGCATCGCCATCACCGTGCACGGCAACATCGACCCCGGGAGTGGGACGATCGAGGTCAGCAAGGACCTCAAGCAGCTCAGGCAGCTCGGCACCTACATCGCCAAGCATCGTTTCCGTGACGAGCTCATCGAGTGCGATCAGCGCCAGTGGAGTCCAGTGGCACGGGTCGTCGCCTACGGTAGAGCCCAGCGACCTGCTTGATTGCATCGGCAATCGGCACGACTTCGTGGTCGGCCACAACTCGCACAGCGTATACATCACCTGCAAGAGCTGCAAGAAGCACGCGTCTGGGCTGACCCGTTGCTATCGCAGCAGCAACCCGGATTTCACGATCTTCCCGCCGGGCGTGATGCGCGACCTCATGGGTCGATGGCGCAAGATCACAGGCCGAGAGTGCGGGCGAGGATCAGATCTGACGGACAAGCCGATGAAGCCCAAGAAGGGCGACTGTTCCATGCTGCTGCCCAGACTGTCGCGGTTTTTCATCGCGACCTTGTTCACGTAAGTCCGCATTGCTGTTTCAGACTTCACGCCTGGTGCAAAGATTTACACGTAACTCCGCATTTCAGAAGCTTCAGTTCAGTCTGCATAGTTTTGGATGTGACGACGTTCACACCCATTCAGATGGCTCTTTTTGAGTTCTGTCGCTTCGCGATCGGACTCTAGCCATGCCTTGTCTTTGATTATAGCGCCGGCGGCGCTGAGAGCTGTGAGTACCCTGCAGGTCGCGTGTAGCGCATCCGCTTAAGTGCCCCGACGGGCTGCCTGCGATTGCAAGCCGTGTCGAGCCGTTTGCTCGCCTTCTGCCAGCGCGCCTGGCCTCCGCCTAATGAAGCTAGCGCCAGGCTCATATGCCCGGCTGCTCACGGCGCATCGTGTGCGCCCGCCCGCTGCTTTTGAGCACCGTGCAGGAGGAGTGTGATTCCAGAAGACTCGCTGCTGTTCTCACTCGCTCTCTGCTGTTGCTGCTTAGCTGTCCAGGGTCGCTCTGCCGCCGCCCGTTTGGCTCTAATAATTTCAGGGCCCTTGGCTGATTGAGCTACGATCCGCTCTGCGAGCGTTTCCAAACGATAGATCCGCGATTTTTCCATATCACAGGAGGAACAGGAGGAGGGTTGAGTGGGAGGAGTTGGGTAGGAGGCGGAGGAGGAGGAAGAGCAGAGTATGGAGGAGACGGAGGAGAAGGAGTACGGAGGAGGGATAATGAAAAGGAGGAGTGGGATGAGGGAGGAGGAGGAGGACGAAGAGGAGGAGAAGCAGGAGGAGGAGGAGGAAAAGGAAGAGGATGATGATGATGAGGAGGACGAGGAGGATAATGATGATGAGGAGGAGCAGGAAGAGGAGGGTTGTACGGGCACCCTTGCATCCTGGAGTCTTGTGCTTTTCCTGGCACACTCTTGAAGAGGAGCAGGGCCCTCAATGATGGTCGCAGCTTGACGAGATCCAGTCTTCTGCGAGAGGGTCCAGACTTGTCCGATTGCTAAACATCTTGCCAGTAGCAGAATGGTCCCCATCGAGGCAGAAGCGAAGGATCGACCTCTCGCCTATGGCGGAAGCCGACGGGGGGTCTGCGTACGTCGGCGGAAGTAGAACGATGGGAGTTCTGTCGACGGAAGTTTCGTGGAAGCCAGCGGAAGTAATGATGGTTGATCTTCACGACAGAAGTCAACGCGGGCGTCTTCGGGGGTTCCGGAGATGTCCAGCTCGAGACCCTCTCCGCGGAGAAGCTTGCCAGCCATCCCCACGAAATTCACCAAAGACGGGTTGACTCCTTGTATCCAGAACGTTTTCATTTCTTTTGCAGGAGTGTCGAGGCGACCGCGTGGACACGAATATTAGCACGTGACATCTGTTCCATGATGTGCCTACGAAAGCAGGATGAACACAGCGAACTCAAATTGACGCCATCGGTCACCAATGTGATCAAACCAAGAGGAACGCGCAAAGCGGGGTCAGACGAAGCTGGAAGGTCCCGCCCAACACATTGATCCCGTGGCTCCCAAGTTGCCCCGATAATTCTGCTGCGCGCGACACCTCTCAAGCTCGACTTGTGTTTGGTCCCTCTGCTGCTGACCGCGCGGCAGCCGGCAAGGTCGAGTGCCGCTTCGGTGCACGCCTTGCCAATCGTCACCAGCCGCGTACCGAAAGACCTTCCGCCCCGACAGCCGCCTCATGCGATGCGCTGCCCTTCTTCCGCTGCTGGACTTCCGGGCGGCAACCTCACAGACTTCCAACGTCGCGAAAGCACTGTGGCGGCTGGCTTCCCGAGTTCTGAGCCTATGGGGACTCGTCTCGTCACCACCCACCAAACGACTCCAACCCAACCCGAAGGCCTCAATTTGCCCTCCATTTCCAGTGTGGGGGGGTCGGGGAACATGGAAAAAAACACATGGAACCCGTACCCCCTCAACCCGAAGTTCGAGTCAAATTCGGGTCTTCGGGTTTGGTTGGGGTCGTCTGGTAGGTAGTAATTTCGGGACCATCAAGCATTACCAAGGACGTACCAAGGACGAATGCGGTCAGGAGCTTTTGGATAGCGTGTCGCGCCGCCGGTTCTGGCCCACCACGCTTGGGAGCAGCACGCTGTCCGCTTCCCGGTCCCCCAGCGTCAACGTCCCGAGCTCTTCCGAGACCCCCGCCCCGCGGGGGGGGGGGGAGCGACACGCTATCCGTTCGCAGGGCATAGCGTGTCGCTGGGGCCGCCGCCGCGACGGGCTGAGCACACGCTCCCGGCAGCAGCCAGTCCCCAGGATGGTGTCGGGAGCCCGGGGTGCTTGCGCGGTGAGCAAGGCGCGAGGTCGGAGGTCTGGGCCCCCCCTGCCCCCCATGTCTCGTTCCAGGGGGGCAGAGGAGCCACAGCCAACTCACCCACCATGCTTCCAGACCACCCCCCCGCCCCCCCAGCCTCCTCTCCCAGGTCCACCCTCGCTGGGGTAATTAATCATGCCAGCTCTGCTTGCCCTCGGCTTCTGTTTCCCAACTTGCCATCCTTCTCTGGCTTCTCCCCCCGCCGCTTCTGGAGCGGGACACGAGGGCAGCGACAGAGACGGGCAGCGGCTTTTGACTCTGCGCCGAGGCCCTTCTCGGTGAGCGGGCCATCGGCCTCCAGCACCCGTGGGACGAGGAGGGCGCCAGCAGCTGGGCAGGCGAGGACACCGACGGCAAGTTCCCGTGGGAGAAGCCCGTGCCTTCGCTGGACGACATCCGGGCTATCACCCAGAGCACCGCGAGGCAGCACGAGGGCGCCCATAGTAGTGACGAGTCTGCCCGGGAGCTGCCCGACGGACGATTAGCTCCAGACCCCCCGAGAGACGACATCTGGGCCCCCACCAACAGCAGCGCGTGGCAGCACACGGCCCGCCTAAACGCGCCCCCGAAGCGCGTGGCGATCGCGTACCGCGGCGACTACCACCGCAGGGTTCTCCTCGAGCACGCCGTCGAGTATTCGGAGGACCCGGACGTCGAGAACTCGTCGGTGGCGTACGGCTGCTCCGATTTCTTCCACAATGCCGAGCAGCACTGGCAGAATCTGGTGGCCCCGCTGGAGGCCGCGGGCGCCAGCGTGAAGACGTACTTCCACTCGTACAGGGACGTGGCGTGCCCACAGCGCGATGCGCGCCTTGTGCGCGAGCTCCGTCCAAGACGCCACGAGTGGTCGAGGGCGCACTTAGAGCTCATAGTGGACAGCTACCTCAGGGTGCTCGAACTCGTCCTCGAAGACGAGGATGATCTCGACGCCGTCGTGTTGACTCGCTTTGACCTCCGATACCGGGAGCCGATCACAGCGTTTGATATAGACTGGAGCGTCACCAACGTAGCCCACAGGGAAGGTGAACTGTCGTGGCTTAAACAGCGGAAGTTGTCAGATCTCTTCTACGTCCTCCCGATCGGGCACGTGCAGCCCTTGATGGAGGCGCTGAGAGTGTCTGGCACGGATCCACCAGGACACAAAGCCACCGGAGCAGGGCACTGGATCTGGCACCCGTTCACAGAAGCGATGGGGAAGGAGCGGGTGCGGCTGAATTTGGAAGCGAAGCAGTAGTAATGTGTACCCACCCCTCCAAGTTGCAGAGGTGAGTTGAACGGCAGAGGCCTTAACAAGTGCGGGAGATGGGAAGGAGGGGACGGCGAGGAGGCACAGTCTGTCTCGCCCCCTCCTGGACAGGTGTTGTTTTTTTCGAGAGTGGGCGCGGACCGCTTCTGCAGCCCTCTCGGTCTCCGTCGGGCACCGTCAGCTCTCTCTCTCTCTCTTTATCTCTCTCTCTCTCTCTTTCGCGCTCTTTCTTTCTCTCTCTCTCACTCTTTCCTTTTCTCTCTCCGCCCAATCTCGCCACCTCTCCTCTCTCTCTCTCTCTCTCCCTCTTCCTCTCTCTCTCGCCCGTCAGGGGTCCCCGATGTGACCAAGGACGCCTCCGGGCCCGCCCCGGGCGAAGGGCGAAGAGCAGCATGGCCCGGGTAAGCCCACCGCCAGGGAATACCAAGACATGCCGCCGCGCCGTTGGCTCCGATGCGCGGCCCTCCGTCTCGGGGAGGGCGCCTCGGGCACCAGGGCAAACGCCGCCTCGGACGCGGTGGGCTTGCCGTGGGGTTTGCCGCGGTGCCGGCCTTGTCTACTCGGGCGCGGGGCGCAGGGTTTGCCGTGGGTTTGCCGTGGTGTCGGCGTCGTCCACTTGGACGCGTCGATTACAAAAGCCGCGGAGACATGTCCACCGCGTCGGAGTCGTGCCTCTGGACCTCGAGGAGTGGTGGGCATCATAGTTGCCCTGACACGTCCGTGTTGAAACGGAACACGTACTGTCTTCAAAGTGTCCAGGTTGAGCACGCTGCGTGTTAGCTTGGCACGTATTGGCCCACGTTTTGGCTGACGTATCGCGCCGGACCCGCGTTTTCAATCTACTGGTTGAGCCCCGTATCAACACGCTACGAGTTGCGTGTTGCGTATCGGGGCAGCTACGGTGTGTATGGATATTTGCCTCTCCCGAGGCTGAATAAGTATCCATACCCACCGCTCCTTAGGTACCATGGGCAGGCCTCCAGCAATGGCGGTTCTGAGCGCTTCCTGGCGGCGCAGAGCTGGCCGAGACCGAGATTCCGCCCCGCCTGGAGAAGATATAGACCTCTGGCCCCGAAGCCGAAACCATTTCGGCCGATGTGTTCCCCCGGGTGATCTTCGAGGCCTGCGCCACTCTGCCGACCCCGGCGAGGGCTGGGGAACGTCTTCGCCAGAAGCTGCTCCTCTCCAGCGGGGCCCCTCCCCCCCTTGAAGTCCACTTCCTCGCCTCTCCTGGAGGGCGATCTGACCAGGATCTCGAGGGTGATCCAGCTGTGGCCACTGGAGCCCCCCTGGAGGCCCACGAGAGGAGAAGGAGGACGATGAGTGAGGAGAGCGTGCTCATCCTCCTCCTCCTCCTCCTCCTCCTCCTCCTCCTCCTCCTCATGCTCCTCTTCCTCCTCCTGATCCTCCTCCACAGCACTTCAGTCGGGCCGTTCCGAAGGCAAGTTCGCCGAGTGCGGCTCCCGCTGGGAGAACGCCCTTCGCGAAGTAGTCGTCTGCGCCGGGGGCTGGGGGCCCGTCCAGTGTCCTGCGCCAGCCTCCCTCGCAGCTGGTCTCGAGGAACGGTTGGAGGAGGAGCAGGAGGAGGAGGACGAGGAGGAGGAGGAGGAGCATGAGGAGGCGAAGGGGGAGGAGGAGGAGGAGGAGGAAGAGGAGCAGGAGGAGGTCGAGGGGAGAGGAGCAAGCGCAGGACCAATGTGAACCCTCCACGTTCCCTCTTCGTAGGTCCCTACAAGAATTTATCATCATCGCGGGAAGTGCGCCATTGGAAGACAACCGTCTGAGAATTAATTGTCGTTTAGGACAGCACCATTTCTGGGAAGACAGCGCCCCGAGTCAACGTGTCTGCCGTGGGAAGGCAACACCGCGAATCAACGTGACTGTTGCGGCTTGACATTCGTAGATGTTTTGAACGTTCAATGCGAGTTTGCGCGGCGCCAAGGCGAGATCCACACTTTGATAAGAACCCGCCCTCAATCCGTTGAACTGTTGCAGACTTCGAAGACGATTCTGCGAGGCGCTGAGGCGAGAACAACCTGTTGAAAACCGCCTGCCTTCAATCCGTGGAATTGTTACATTCCGTAGCCATTTTGGCTCAAGACTCGAGCAGGCCACCCTGCAAGCCAGCATCGCTCGACCCTCTCCTTGTTCGTAGACCTCATCGATCTCTGCGCAAGCGACGAGCATGATGAAGGCGTGGGCGGTCACCAAGTACGGCGATGCCTCGGCGCTCTTGACAGCGATGGACGTGGAGAAGCCGCAGCCAGGGGCCGGGGAGGTCCTGGTCAAGAACATGGCCATCGCAACCAACCCCATCGATTACAAGGTGATCGCCGGCGCCCTGGCACCAGGCGAGGAGGCGCCCCCCCAGCGCCTCATCGTGGGCTGGGACAGTGCGGGGGTGGTCGAGGCTGTCGGGGAGGGAGTGACAGACTTCCAGGCCGGTGACAAGGTCTGGTTCGCAGGTGACATCACCAAGGACGGATGTTACTCGCAGTATACCAAGATCGACTCACGGCTCATCAGCAAGATGCCCAGTACGCTCTCCTTCGAGGACGCTGCTGCCTTGCCGCTGACCTTCCAGACAGCGTGGGAGGGCATGGTGGAGCTGATGGGCGTCCAGAAGGGCAAGTCGATCTTCGTCTTGAATGGCGCTGGCGGGCTCGGGTCGATCGTCATCCAGGTCGCTAAGCACCTCGGGCTCACAGTGATTGCCTCCGCATCGCGCGCGGAGACCATCGAGTTTTGCAAGCAGATGGGCGCGGACCACGTGGTCAACCACCGCAACGAGGACCTCGGCGCTGAGCTCAAGCAGGTCGGCTTCGACTGCGTGGACTATATCTATAACGCCCACGAGAACGATCGCCTCGGGGAGCTCTTCAAGCTGCTGGTGTGCGACGGAAGGCTTGTGGTCACCTACGGCCCTACGCAAGAGCAGATGGCGAAGGTGGACTGGACCACCGTGTGGCTGAAGAGGCAGACGCTGTGCTTCCAGATGATGTTCGCGCGGCCCATGTTCAACACCGAGCCCGCGATGGTGGGTGGCGTGATGGCAACCATGGCAAAGCTCGTGGACCAGGGCAGCATCAAGTCGACCGTCACGAAGAAGTACGGGGGCATGGAGCATATCAATGATGCCACCAAGCTTCAGATGTCTGGCAAAAGCATCGGCAAGATCTGCCTCACCATGACGCACTGAGGCTGTGCTGGTTTGCCCCCTAATGCTTTCGGGGAGCTTGCAGGGTACTCGCGGCCACCAGTACAGGCTGGAGGTAGTATATGCATCCATGTATGTATGTTTGTATGTATCATATTATATTGTTTTAGAGTGATACTGAATGGCGCTGCGTTATATCATGGTGTTTCCATCACTGCGTTGTATCGCAGTGCCAGTGTCGGCACTCCATTCTGAACAGTTCATTCGCTGCTTGGCATTGGTGCGCATTGCCTTGTATGGATGTGCCACTGTCTGTGATCGAGCTCTGTTCGGCCCGCGATTTTGTTACGCTTCGGTGTGCCTCGTAGTTTCCATTGCTTTGCCTGATACCATCGGCACCTTTTCGAGCGCCGTTCAGCCCTGCAGCTAGAGTGCGCTCGGAACACGGCCCCCGCGCGCGCCCATGGGGTGTTCATATCCCAACCGTGCGCGGACAAACAACAAATCCGTGGAATTGCGACATGCTTTTGAAAGGAATGTGCGCGGCGCCGGGGCGAGAGCCACACTTTGAAACCCAGCCGCCCTCCATCCGTGGAGCTGTTGCAAATTTCGAGCCTCGGCATCACAGACGGGGAGGAAGGATCGGGGGCGAAACGCCCGCCCTGCCCTGCCGACACGTCTGGGGGTGCGACAGGGGCGGAGATCTTGCGAAGGCTGCACGGCCAGTGCCGCCGACCGGGAAGGGGGATGACGGCGACGACGAGGACGGCGGCGGTGGCGACGACGACGACGACGCCGACGTGAGTCAGAGTCCTCAGGGATGCGTCTTGGTGGGGTCTCTTCGGAGCCCTCTCGGGGGCCTCTGGGGGCAGTTTTGGGGCCTCTTGAGAGTCACTTGGGGCCCTCTTGGGAGCCTGTTGGGGGCCTCGTGGGGCTTCCTGGGGGCCTCTTGGGGGCCTCTTGGGGCCTCGTGTGGGCCTCTTGGGGGCCTCTTGCGGCCTCCTGGGAGCCTCTCGGGGCCGAGGGCTCGAAATGTCCGTTCGGGTCTCTCGTCTGGGCACCCTCTTGGACCCGTCTTTGGACCCGTCTTGGGACCCTCATGGGCCGTCTTGGAGACCTCTTGGGCCCCCTTGGGGCCCTCTTGGACTGTTTTTGGCCCCTCTTGGAGGCCTTTCGGGCCGTCTTGGGGCGATCTTGGGGGCCTCTTGGGCCGAGCAGTCTTGGAGCGTCGGAAGGCAGAAAAGGGGAGAACACTAAAATCTGCCAAAAACCTAAGCTCATTGAAGTTTGCCTCTTGTGGCCCTTTTGGGGGTGCACCCCCCCCGGGACCCCCCGCCGCCCCCCCCTTTCGGCGGGGAAGGGAGCAAAGGGAAGGGACTTCCCCTCGACTCAACTGCGACGTTGCTCAATTTCGTTTTGGTTGCTGGCGCACCTTGGGGGGAGGGCCCAGGGAAATGGGGGGGGGAGCGGCGACGGCGCCAACGGCGACGACGATGACGAGGACGAGTCAACCGAAACAACGTCTCGCACACGCCGGCAGGGTCGGCGGATTTATTCAGGACAAGGGATGATCGAGAGGGGGGAGGAGGAGGAGGAGGAGGAGGAGGAGGAGGAGGAGGAGGAGGAGGAGGAGGAGGAGGAGAGGAGGAGGATGATGATGAGGAGGAGGAGTAGGACGAGGACGAGGACGAGGAGAAGGAGGAGGAGGAGGAGGAGGAGGAGGAGGAGGAGGAGGAGGAGTGGGAGGAAGATCAGGAGGAGGAGGAGGAGGAGGAGGAGGAGGAGGAATAATATA